CATCTCCCAAATCTAGTTTATATATGGATAGTCTGTGATAACAGCCAAGAAATTATATTAAATAAATTCTTGGTGAAACTACAGGGGTCAGACCTCCGTCCCAAAACACTCTGATCAAATATAATAGCTTTTCCAGCTGTCCATGAGCAGAAGCACTTAGTACTGCAAATTGTGATGCATGGCTTATCCATTGCATTCGTTATTTAGGTTTTCACTACCTTTCATTTTGTGTAGAATACCCAGTAGAGGAAACACCTATGCCGAGGCCAAAAGATCAAAAGCCGTTGTAATCCTGCTCTCAAGTTTTAAAATTTCATTTCAAAACTGACTAAGTGAAAGCTGTTTTTAACTGACTAAGTGAAAGCTGTCTTTCTTTGCTCTCTGGCCTCTTACCTTTAGACTTTTCTTTCCCTCCTGTGCTTGGTGGGGCCAGAGCACATACTTCCACATCACCCACCATCTTCACCAAGATGTGTCTATAGCAGCTGCTTTGGATTTTTTTTCTTTTTGACAATTTTACACATGAGCATTGGCTTTGTGTTATTTCCAGCCCTCCCAGGCCCCCAATGTATTTATCAAGGAGTTAATAAAAGTATTTCTTTAAATTTCAAAACAAATGTTAAATAGCTAAGTGTGATGTCACACACCTGTAGTCCCCAGATTTGGGAAGCTGACGTAGGAGGACTGAGCATTTGAGGCCAGATTGGTCTACATGAGTTCCAAGACTGACTGTGCCACACCAGGAGACCCTGGATCCATAAATAAATGAATGAATGAATGAAGCATGAAAAGAATCTTTCATGAGCAGAGGCATGGTTTAAGCCACCTAGAGGTAAATTATGATTCTATACTAATGCATCTTTCAACTCTCACCAGGGGAACTTCCTCATGCAGTAGACTGTGATGCACACAGAAGGCCACAATTGGCCCAAGTGTAGAGAATAAGAGGCTGCAGAGTGCATGTCCCAGGATAGGACCTATGTGAAACCTCACCCACCCACAGCTCAAGGATCATTGTGAAAGAGGGGGCAGAAAAATTGTAAGAGCCAGACTTCTAGGAACTGGCTCATATGAACTTACAGCAATGGTGTCAGCATATACAAGACCCATGCAAATTTAATCAGGCAAAAACCTAGCATAAAACTGGGGACATGGGCAGCAGGCCCCAATCTTAGCCAAAGAACCGTTGGCAGTTGATTACTGTTGGGTGAGGGAGAGTCGATCTTCTTTAAGGGAGTGGCTCTCAATAGGCTGACTAGACTAGTGAATGAACTCATATCAAGGGGCATCTGGGACTTGACTCCATAGGCCTTGACATATATGATATAATGCATGAAATCAGGTGGGGACAGGGCTATAGGGAGCTGTGGAGATATGGGGGAAGGGGTATAAGGATGATTAAGATGTTTTGTATGGAGTGCACAAAATTTGGATAAAAGTATACATTGAAACAAAAATGCTGATTGTACCACTTATTATCTCCATGATCTTGAGAAAGTAAGATAATATCTCTCCTGATATATACAGTAAATTAGGAAAGTCCCTAGCTCATGTAATGAAGTCCAAATAATTTCATACTTGCAAAGCCACTTACAACAGTGTCTGGTATCTGGTATCTAGATCAATATAATGTTTACCATCCTTACTACAAGTCTTATAGTTCAATTAACAGGGTGAACACATAAAAATCAGGACAAACAGCAAAGCCAGACAGGCAATACCTTCAGTCAAGTTCTTGGCCAGGATAGATAAAGGCTCTACCAGACAGTAACCCAACATACTACTGGAAACATGAACAGCAGACCCCAATTCTATCCAAAGGAATACTGACAATGGATTGCCGTTGATAAGGAACAGCTGATCCTCCTGGAACAGGGACCTCTGGCTGACTAGATTTACCAGAAGGGCAGATAGGGGGGAATGGATGGGGGTGCTGACAGCACAGTGGACAGTGGCAGGGATAGCAGAGTATGGAGGCTCTAGTGGGAGAGGAAGGCTGTCTACCTGACGAGTTTGTATTCATGCTCAGATACCGAGGAGCTCAGAAGGTGGGCGACTGTGACCA